CTTAATAATCCCCTTCTTCCTTTGTGTAAAATCCCTCCCTGAAATAAAAGACGGATGCAGATTGAATCCTGCATGCATTACTGCCTGCAGGGCCATGATGCCTGCAGTCCAGGGTCTGCCTGCCAGTTTTGCATCCACTCTGGTTTGGGGGTGTTTCTTTGTTTCTCTCGTTGCGTCTTTGTGTATATTCTTTCTCTATCTCTTTCGCCACCAGATCTCCCTACTTCGTGAACCAAACTTCCCTGTTGAGGCTGGTCCCCAACATTCCGCTTCATGGGGAAAAGATGAAGCTGTCTACTCCTGAAAAGTATCACAAACCCTAAGGAGCCGTTCTATTCTATCCAATAGGTCAGAATATTCAATAGGTTGGAATCGGCAGTGGGCTTGGGGCATGCTATCCTTCCCTGGATGATATAAAAGCTTAACATGCTTAGTTGCTGTCTGGAAGGCTGGCAGTTCAATTTTACCCAGTAGTACCTTGGAAGAAAGGCCTGTCAGTCTACTTCTAAAAACTCAGCCATTAAAAACGTTATGGAGCACAGTTCTAATCTGACACACATGGGATGGCCATGAGTTGGAGCTGACTTGATGGCAACCTCCTTTTATAAGCCTTTGTCTTAGTTGTCTATTGCTGCTATGTCAGAAATATCACAAGTGGGTAGCTTCAACAACCAGAGAAATTCATTCTCTCATAGTTTAAAAGACTAGAAGTCCAAATGCAGAGTGCCAGCTCTGGGGGAAGGCTTTTTCTTTGTCAGTTTTGGGGAAAGGTCCTTGGGTCCTTTCTGCATCTATAGATAGGCCCAGCAGTCCTTGGGCGTCTCCATAGGTCTTGGCATCAATCTTCCTCTGGATCAAGTAGCTTCACAGTGAGGGACCCCAGGTCCAAATGACACACTCCACTCATGGCTCTTCTATCTTGGTGTTAGTAGGTCCCTCAGAACTCAGCTCACTTTTCTCTCCCTTTATATTTCCAAAGAGATTGACTCAAGATACAGCCTACTTCTGTAGATGGCATCTGACATCATTAATATCACAGAAATATGGATTTACAACCTAGGGTAATTGCATCAGTTAAGGGTTTATCACAGCAAATCATATCAAGGGGTCGATTGCACTATATTAGGACTCATCATGGAAGTGATAACTACATCCTAACTGCTAAATCACTGAGAATCCTTGCTCAGCCAAGCTGACACAAAACCTTGACTATCACAGCTATCCTCACAAAATGCCATATACCATTTCTTTGTCTTTACCTGTGCACAACGGCAAAGACTCCGGGGGTCCAGAAAAGAAAAGATGTATAAAGATAACACCCTTGGAAGCTTGGTAGTAAAATCCAAGGCTTCTGCTGGAATTTTTTCCTGAAGCTGTCTACAGCAGAACTTTTGCTGTGACAGGGAGCAGCGTTCCAAAAGGCCTGTCAGGATTCTTCTCCTTTGAGAGTCTGTCCATTTGTCAAACTGGGAAAACAAACAAAAAAAGCTCCAGGTTTAGTCTGATACTAGAAATTCATTATGAGGTAGAAATTAAAATGGCATAGAAAATTACTTCAGCAATATATTTCAGCTGAATAACTTATGTGTTTTTTCCTGACAGCTAAGATTTTTGTCACCTAGCTATCCTTCCTCACATTTGTATTTATGAGCATGTGTAAGGACTGTGTGTTCACATACATGCATCTGACCTCAGAACAGACACTTACATAAGAAAAGTAAGCTGGTACCTAATCTTACTTACATTGTTTTTGTTGTTAAGAGCCGTCAAATCAGTTCAGACTAATAGCAATCTCTTATACAGTTTCCAAAGAGCAGGTGGTGGGTGTGAAATTCAAACCGATTTTTCAGTCCAGTGCATTATCCTATAGCACCACACCAGGACTCCAATCTTACTAACAGGCTGAGGAAATGTACACTTATAAAATAGAATTTTAAGAGAAGGCACCTCAGCAGCCCTCCCTCCCAAATAGTTTCTATATTAGCTCATCAGTGCTTAAAATTCTAGGACCAGAAATAAATCCTTGCACTAACTATAAGAGACAAGGTATTAAACGCAAATATCCCTGACAAAGGGATTATATTCAGTTAAATTCCCACTAACATACAAATGACTGATATGTTTGGAGAAAAAGGTTAATAAGGGAGAAACTATGTCAGGGAAAGGAGGTAAACATCAAAGTAATGTGAAGCATACCGAACAAAAGCTTTGGCTACTTCACAATTTTCCCCACAAATTACCCCAAACTAATCCCATGAAAAGTGACTGACCAAAGATGAAAACTTGGGGACTGGCAAAAACCAAAAGAAAGGCTCTTAAGGGAACAGTGATCTGCTGCTTGAGCTACTTTACCAGAAGTATCTTTCATTTGCTAGTCCATTGTTGTTGTTGTTAGGTGCCATCAAGTCGGTACTGACTCATAGCAACCTTATGCCCAACAGAACAAAACACTGCCCGATCCTGGGCCAACCTCACTATTGTTGCCACGCTTGAGCCCACTGATGCTGCCACTTTGCCAATCCATCTCACTGGGGGTCTTCCTCTTTTTCTCTGACCCTCCACCCTAGTCCATTAGGTAAGAGAAAATACGGAGGCTTTCTCTACTTGTATTTTGCATTTCATGTACAGATATTTAGTACAGTTATTATAAAGTAACCAGAATTTTACAACTGTATTAATAAATATACTACATGTAAAGGTATATTTAAAAAAATTTATAAGCATTATGGGAGTCCTGGTGTGGCACTGTAGAATAAGTATCAGATTGTTAGCATCAAGGTCAGCAGTTATAACCCACCAGCCTCTCCTCAGAAATGCTATACAGTGTCGCTATGAGTCGGAACCAACACGACAGCACTCAACAACGACAATGACAAGTAAATTTGATTACAGTATTACAATGCATTGTTCTAATCAGTAGGAATATATTCTTACTAAAACTATTCACTACTATAGATTTATTCAATGACCCAAGAATCTCACTTTGGAGACTAGAACTCAAGGGAAAAATCCTAAAATGGAAAAAAAAACAAAAAAAAAAACCCTTATAAATAGCACAGAAATAAAGTAATTAAAGTGAGAGGTGTGGCACTGTAGGATAAGCATTGGGCTGTTAACCACAAGGTGAGAAGTTCAAACTCACCAGCAGATCCTGGGAAACCCCATACAGAATCATTATGAGTTAGAACTGACTCCATGGCACTTAACAACAACAACAACAACAACAACAACATTGTTTGCATATTCTTTGATTTTTTCCTGTCCTGGTTCCTGCACAATCCACATTTCCATCTCCCACAAAAGGAGACATCTTTGTTAAATCTGTTGGGATGAATTATTAGAAGAATGCATAGAAAGATTCAAGGCCAAGACCACTAGGCTCAAAGAAGCTGAAATGACCTTTAGAATAAAGATGCAAGGGCAAGAAATGAAGAGGCAGAAGGAAAGCTTTGAGATAGTGGCTTGATAGGGAGTTTCGAGATTCAGAACATGATTGTCTTTCTGCAGTTACAGAGTGTGAGAGAATTAGAAAAGGAAAGTAGGGGATATGAGAAGTATTGTTAAGCATTTTGAACTGGATCCTCTATGACATCATTTTGAGAGACAAAGTGAAGAAAGGAATTTATTTTTAAAATTACTTTCCAACAGTGTGGCGCTGTGGGTTAATTTGCTGGACTGCAAGGTTGATTTGAACCGCAAGGTTGGCAGTTCAAGTTTAACAGCTGCCCCTCAGAAACCCTGTACAGGGTTGCTATGAATCGAAACTGACTCGATGGCACTTAACAACAATAACATGTCCCTCTGTGGGGTCCTGGTGTGGCACTGTAGGATAAGCTAACCGCAAGGCTGGCAGTTCAAACTCACCAATCACTCCTATACAGGGTTGCTATAAGTTGGAACCAACTCAATCGCACTTAACAACTACATTTGACTGTGTGGGTCACAATTTTACTCTGGTACACATGGGGGCTGCTATGAGTCAGCGTCAACTTGACTGCAATTGGCTTATGTGACTCTGAAGCTATGTGGGGGACTCAGGATGATTACAGTTACAATAAGATTTTCATTACATTATTATCGCTGTAATCACTCCAAACAATCCAAATGCCTAACAGTAGGGAACAGCTAAACAAACTGTAATGTATCATCATGATATATTACATTATGGATAGACAGATGATGGGCTTGGGAGTGAGACATTTGGAAACTCACTCCCAATATTCTATTATTTTAAATGATTAAATCCTAACTCTACCACTAACAATCTCTCTCAGTCTCAAATTCCTCATTTATAAATTAAGGATAATTACAGCTATATTATAGGCTGTTGTGAGGATTAAACATGTATAAAATTTCTAATGAGGAATGTATGACTCACTGTAGACATGGTAGCTATTATTATAAAATACCACAGTGATGTTAAAAATAATTAGGATGGGGCTAACTCAATGAGAAATTAAGATACAAAAATTAAATTATGATACAGACAATTACCATGCCTGTACACTGAAAAGGCTAGGAAGTACATTTGGTATGACTAAGGTTAACACATCTACTTTCCTTAATGCCTTCGAAAAGAGAAAGGGCTCAGACAGCAGGAGTGGTTTAAAATGAGTATCAAGAATATTGCTGAACTGTACCATCAAGTCAGTTCTGACTCATAGCAACCCTAAACAGGCTTTCCAAGGAGCAGCTGCTTGAACTGCGTTTGAACTGCTGACCTTGTGGGTAGCAGCCCAGTGTTATCAGTGTCACACCAGGACTTTATAAGATCATAAAATACTGATGAAATCTATAAAGGAAAACATTTTCCTTTAGAGATTAAAAAGATAATCACATTGATATCTCATTTATTTCCCTGATTAAAATGGTCAGAAGTCATTTATGTTTGGCTTTGATAGGTGTTCTTTGCCTTGAGGAATTTTTGTTTCTAATTGTGTTTGTTTAGGCTGATAGAAGACTAATTTGTATTCCTTAAACTAATACCAATTTAAGATAGGCAGAGGGCTCAGAAGAATGTATAAGAGTAAGGAAAAATTCCTTTATCATTTAGACGGTATGATGAGTAATCTGAAAAGCAGATAATCCATGGAAGAGCTAACTGTGCAGAATTCAATAATCTCCTATACCTCTTGCATCACCTCTCATGTAAAAATGTTCATAAAAAGCAAGGAATCCAATGTTCCTATTCTCTTTTCACTATGGTACCGTACCCAATGTCATAACTCGTTCCTGAAGGATGACATTATAGACCACGGTGTACTGCTTTTTAAAAATATCTCTTTTATCCTTATCTTTGTAAATCCCATCAAACAACTCTTTTCCTGATAGGGTTGGGTAAGAAACAAGTGAGAGAAGATATTGACAGGATGACATGATTCAGCTGTGGATGTTAAAATAGTTAACTTTAATTGTGAAAACCTGGAACTTGAATGCAGTTTTACAATGAGCCATCTCAGAAGCAGGATCTCACTACCATGTAAGAGCCAGAAATGGAAGGCATCCTTTGGCCCCTGAGATCCCTGCACACTGAAGCTCCTTGAAACAGGAACAGAAAGCTGTGAGGATGAAAGAGTGGCGAGGAGTGGCAGCAGTAGAACCAAGAACCAGAGCATGAGTGAGAGCAATGGGCTTCTCAGCCCACAAAGCAAGTAAAGTTGGGTGACTTTGGCCAGGAAGCTCACTTGTAGAGTGGGGTGCCTCCAGTCACTTATGTAGGGGAGTTAGATTTGCTGATCCATGGAGCTAGAGCGGAGTGCCTCTAGGCTGAGGCTTATGGTGGAGTGGTGTTTCCTATGGGCACTTATCAGTAGCTGACTGGAAAAATTGTGCCCTGAGCATTTCTGACCCCAAACTGTAGCCTGTTAACATCCCTGATAAACTCCACAACAAACTCTGTGTGGCCAATGTTCTACATCCTACTTTGGTGAGTAGTATCTGGGATCTTAATTACTGAACCCAGCTACATAGAGAAGGTTGTGAGAGGAATGGTCTAGTATATCAATAGTTTGCATAGACCTTTCTTGGTTCAGTATAACTGTGGACATCCTATTTTCAGGTTTGTTGTTACAAGGAATCTTACTGTAGTTTCAGGAAGTGGGGATTGTTTCCAGAGTCATCAGGTTCCACTCTCATATCACACTGACTAGCAGAAAAGGGTCCTGGGAACTTGGGAGCTGGGAGTGGGATAAAGAGGGATGTTATTATTCTTTCTTTATTGGTTAATTTATTTTGATGTGGTTGAGGTTCTGAGTCTTATTATACAATTAAAAAATGAGGCAGGTACTGCCGAGAATCAGGGGCCTCGGACGCCACGCTACTCTTTTGCCTGAGCTGTGGGAATGGGCAGATAATGGAAGAAGGGCAACACTGCCACTGCTTCATCTGCAATACCTGCTCCTAGGTAAACAATATCACCCACAAGGTGACAAATTGGAAGTATCGCAAACTGAAAGAAATTAATGAC